GGTCTAATGTGAATCTCACCGGCCTAATCAAGGTCTTGGTACGGCTATGTTCCTTTCTAGAGGTTTCAGGGGAAAATCCATTTCCTGATCTTTCCAGCTTCTAGAGGCACTGTAATGCCCTGACTGCAGATCTTCAAAGGCTGCAAGAGCTGGGTAGGTCTTTCTCACATCATATTATTCTAACATTGAACGTTCTCTGTTTCCAGCTTTCACTTTTGAGGAGTCTTTATATTCCAGGAAAATTTCTTTATTTTAAGTTATTTCACTATTTTAGCATTAATTTCATCTATACCCTGAATTCTCTTCTGCTCTATAACCTAACAGATTCACAGGTTTCAGGGATTAGGATTGGAACATTTTTGCCTACTTCAGGCTGAATAAAATCTCTCTGAAAACCAAACAACAAAAAGGGCAAAGCATTTCTCTTTTTCAGCAAAGCAAAAGCTCTTCTCAGCTGGAGAGATTTGTCATTTAGTTTGAGGATTGGGAGCAACTATTTTTGAATTATAAACTCCAAGTAAGCCTTGCAGAGGTAAGGGAGAGTTCTCAGACTTAGGACAGTCACATACTCAGCTAAAAGAGAACTCTTGAGTCCTTGGGTGGGGGTGGATGTGGGTGGGAGGAGTATATTTCATATTTCAAACAGTAAATTCAGATAAAGGACTACTTTCTTACAGGTATGTGCAGGTAAGAGTTTAAATATTTATCATTCTAGGCTGAACTGGACTGGTAAGTGGGATAAGTTTTCCCTTTCCCTTTAAGAGGTCATATTGCAACTTCTTGCTCTAGGTGTGAAGACCTTACTACAAATAGTGCTGTCAAAGCCAGGTTTTGAAGAGTGGCTTTTATTGGCAGCTGAGTCATAATTAAATACTATTAATATCTAGTCAATGCATCTCTCCCTTTCTGATCATTAGCTGAGGAGGTATCTTTATTCGCCTTTTTTCCTCCTACCTGTCATTTTTCTCCTCCTTGTGTCTTTGACCAGTCAGGGATTCCTAGTTCCTCATAAATGGAAAGGTATATCACCATTCTGTGAGATACGTGCAAATTTTATAGTAGACTCCAACGTACCTGTGACAAACCACCAGTTTGGGCTTGGTTTTTCCCCATTATCTTCTTATTCTACTTCTGACCTTTTAAAAAATACACAATATGAGGATTCATTTCTGAGTCAGGAGATTCAAAGACATTTGCATATCAAAGATTCTAAAGAAATCCTTTAGAATTTGGGGTGGAAGAGGAAGATAGTCTCCCATTCTTAGGGACTCGCAGCAGACTGTTTCTACATTTCCCCCTTAGTCATCCACTCCACTCCATCCTTTTTAGGAAAAGTCCCAAAAGGCCACCCTGCATGCCTAGAAACATAAATTTTTCAATTTTTAAAGATGCTTCTGTTTGTTCTTACTGATACT